TTGGAAAAATATAACCTCCAATGTGAGCTCCATAGTGGCAATACTTAAAGATTTTGTTCTGATGACATTGGTGGTGATATTAATGAATGTGACTTTTTGATATTATATAATAAGATCTGTCATCATTTAGAGAATCTGCATAGCTCAGTGAGCTTATGTTTCTCAAATGCCCAATGAATAATGTTACAAAACCATGCATTGGTAAAAGATCTATACAAAGTGCAAGATAAATCATTGGATTTAAACTTAATGAATATGAAAAGTTCACTGTTAACTTTTCAGATTCCACACTGCATTTAAATTTTATGAAACTATTACTTGTCAGGTTTTGAAGAAGAGTATTCACACATATCTGAATAGGTTGTTAAAATGCTCCTTCCTTTTCCAACTCTGTGAAGCTGTTTTTTTTTTTAATATACTTCAGCCAAAAAATATTTCACAGTAGATTGAATGCAGAAGCAAATATGAGGACCTACTTGTCATCCCTTAAGCCAGATAAAGAGATTTTCAACATTGTAAAACAACCTCTCCTTGGTAAATTTTTGGTATTAAACAAAAGAATTAGTATTTTATAAAAATAGGGTGTTTATGTTAAAATGCAATTGGTTTGTTATTGTTATTTTTCATTAAATAATAAATATTTCTAAAATATTTCAATATGAATTTATAATTATGTACATATTAAATATATGTATATGTATGTGTATGTGTATATGTATATGTATATGTATATGTATATGTATATGTATATGTGTATGTATATTACATGTCTGCTGTGAGTGTATTTACTCTTTGGGGCCTTTAATAATTTTTATTAAAGGAATCATGAGACCTAAAGTTTTGAGAACTAGTGTAGTAAATAAAACTGTCAGTTTTTGATGGTACACTTATCTTCTCCCACACTGTCACCTTTCTATTAATTTTACCTGTGATGTACTTGGTTAAAAATAAATCTTTAAATTTTTATGAGTCAATTCCCTTTACACTTTGTGCTTTTCTGATCTTCTTAGAATAACAGCTTCTTCAACTCTTAGGTCACAAAAATATGCTTCTACATTTTTTTCTATTAAATGGATAGTGTTACTTTTCACATTTGGCTTTTAGTACATTCCAATCCAAATTAATTTCTCTCAGTGTAGACAATCAGTTTTCCTGACACCATTTACTGAATAATCTACCCTCTCCTCACTGACATATAATGCTGCCTCAAGTATGGATATATATTAATATATAGCCTCTTTCTGGATCTCCCTTCCAATTCCACATGGATATTTACCTGTTTATGCTAGTACCACATTTACATCTAAATGGTCTCGTAGTTTTAATATATGGCAAAATTCCTTCCATGTACCTTTCCATTATTCCTTTAGCTATTTATTAGTGAAGGTTTATTTTTCAATGTATAATTTAAAATATAAACAATATATTTCAGAATAAATTTATCATGACAGAATAGTATATCCTTTGATGTTGCTGAAAACTGCACAGAATTTACAAAAAATTGAGGGAACCAACTTATTATGCTGTCTTATTCATTATGCTGTCTTCTATTTTGTCTTTTAGTTAAAAATGTTCTCATAAGACGATAAGAATTATTTATTAGGTTAATTTCTAGATACTTTATCATTACTTTTGCTATTATAGATAACATCATTATCAATGCATTGTTTGCCCTGTACAGTAGTATGAAAAGAAGTATGAAATACACACAGTTTTGTTGCTAAAGTCTTAGTGCTCTTTCCACATTATTTCCAGATAATTGTGGAATCAAGTAACAAGCAGCAATTCTTAAAATCTTATGCCAACATATCTCTCACTCTTTCATTCTCTCTCTTTCTCTCATCTCCTCCCTCTACTTTCCCTTCTTCCTTTCTCATTCTTGTTCTTTTAACAATTGTTTAGTATTTCATTTTCTGGACTTTTCCTTAATGAAATGACTTAGACCCCTATTGATAGACATTTTAACCTATTTGAAATTGTGTCCTATTATATCTAACACTGTGGGAAACAACTTTGTATCCACATCAATTTGCTTATGTGGTTATACTTGTAGACTACATTTCTAAAATGAAATGCTGAGCTTAGGAAAATGTGCTTTGGTCATTTTGTTTCATGTCACTAAATTGTTCTTCATGAAAGATTGTGTTATTTATACTCCCACCAGGAATGTACAAGCTTTCCTGTTTTTCTATACTTTTTCTAATATTGTATAATTTTTTTTGCTTTTTTGTTATGTAAAGTGTGACTTATAGCACCTTGAAGTAGATTAAAAGGCAATGTTATTTTGCCATAAAATACTGTTGGAATAGGATAAAGGGGAATTACTTGCAGCATGTCTTGTGGTGGAGATGTTTCTAAAATCATTCTATAGCCTTTATCCAGGGCTTAATTTATTTCTCACAGAAATATAGATTTCTCACATTAAATTTGAGTATGACCATGACAGTGAAATCTTAGCCTTTTATATTGAGGTCCCAACACCTAGTCACTGTTAATTATCCTGTATTCTAGAAATCACTTTTAAAAATTATCATTTTTTGATTGTTATGCATCTATAATTTAAGCTTTAGAAAATTAATCTATGGTTCATCAGCTAAAACTCTGGCAGAGATAATTGGGCCATCCATAAGAGATATAAACAAGATAACTAAAATGAGATCAAAGATAATTGAGAAAGGAATGATCAGCAATATCATGTGGAATTTAACTTCTAAAATGGGAGGAAAAATTATTAAAACTGTCCACTATTTATTATATATATTTATATATTAAGGTTCATATTATGAAGAGTCTCATAAAAAGAAAAAAGAATGTCATACATAAGATACTGGGAGAATATTTGTCTTCCATAGCCATGTGGTAATTTACCTAACATAGTAAAAGAAGTATTTTTCAGAGGTTATCTATTCCAAATTTCACTGTTAAAATTCTAAAGTCAATCTTTAAAAAAATTAATAGATATAAATATTAAGAGTAATAAGTAAAATTTACCTTTATGGTGGATATTCACTTTTTTGAGCCTCCAAACAATATTTTTACATAAAATGTATTTATGTAAGTAAATTTGAGGTCTGAGTATTGAAATGAGAAAAGCAAAATTGGATTTCAGAATCAACTCCCTTAGTATTATTGGTGAAAAAGAGGGACCACAGACCCAGAATTTAAATGCAAAAATACTGTTTATAAGGTCTGCATTAAAAGAGTTAGAGGGGGATATACTCAACAGTGGGAGGCCGGGGACTACCTTGGCCAAGTTATTTAACTCATTAAAATTCCAGGTTTTCTTTATACATAAATAAGACTGAGGATCGCTCTGTGAGTGAGCGCCAGACCATGAGGAACCTCATGCCATTCAGAGAAGGAAGATGAGACTAGGAAACTGAAAATCAAGAGGAAGGAAGACCTTACCATGTAGGCAAATTTTCAAAAGCCTAAACGGGTGCTGCCTACATGCAGGATTCAGGATTGCCCACAAGACACTAACATATTTAAAATATACAAATCCAAGGAAATAAAACATTGTAAGCCTTTTCATAGTCATGGTGTTTGTCTGGAGTGCATTGCTTTCTTAGTTCCAATTTTCAACTTTTTAAATATATGACATGAAGATAGGTAGGTAAATAGATACATAGATAGAAATAGATAGGAGAGGAGAGAGAAAGAGAGAGAGAGAGAGAGAAAGAAGAAGAAGAAGAAGAAGAAAAGGAAGGAAGGAAGGAAGGAAGGAAGGAAGGAAGGAAGGAAGGAAGGAAGGAAGGAAGGAAGGAAGGAAGGAAGGAAGGAAGGAAGGAAGAAAGAAAGAAAGAAAGAAAGAGAAAGGAGGGAGGGAGGGAGGGGGGAGGGAGGGAAGAAAGAAAATTGATTACAGAGGGGCAGTTTCTTCACATACACATTCTATCATTTCAAATATTAACTCTTAGAGTCTTCTTAGAAAGTGAGAAATCCTAATCACATGAATCTGAAGATTGTCTGGGTTTTCTCTGGAAAATGGTCTCTGAATTATTACTATAGTAAAAGACATTAAAATGTTTCGATTTGTTGTTGGTAGAGAGAGAAACTTAACAACAACTTTTCTAGAATATAGAAGATTTTGCATGCAGCATAAAGGCATTTTAAAATGAATGACACAATTTTTAATAATTTCCAGATACGAAGAAAATATTTTTGTTTTATGATTTAATTATCATACAATAATTGCCAAAATGAGCTCCCCTATTTAAATATCAGAAGAATATTAGAATTGTTATTACAGGGCTGTTACTCCTGCAGCAAACTATTGTTGGGCAATTTATAATGGGGAGAAAATATGAAGAGAAAATACCAGTTAGAAAGTCTCCCTATGATGAAATGAAGAGAAGGCAAGTATTTGATGAAAAGCCCTCTATAACTTATAGTGGAGACAACTATATAAAAATCTAGAAACTGAAGATACTTCTGTTTCTTTTTGGCTTTTGTCAATTTTGTTGCCTTTAGCTTTCTTATTCTAGTACTCAAAGATCTCAGGGAGATTTTCATGTTTTATTTTAAGTAGAAATTTGTTGATGCCTAAAGCATTTGAGACACATTTACAATTGTGTTGACCATAGAGTTTCATTGTAATGTCACTGAGGCTATTTTGACAAGGTAATATTCCGTTTTCAGTTTACTAAGTCGCATCTTCATATTATAACCAACCAATGTTTTCTATACTTAATATTTTGGGGGCACATTGCCTTTTTCAAAGTTTGTTCACAAATATTGCTTTGCTTGAAAAAGGGTTTTCGAGAAAGATTTTGAACCTAAACTTGAATATATTAT